CCATTTATAGAGGAAGGCTTTAGGCTATATAACATTACGCTGCGACCAATAGATTTTTTTTAATTCCTCGCGGACATTTTTATTTTATTCCATCAATCATTTTCCACAAACAAATCTAGCGCATACCAAATGAAGATAAAAGTAAATAATCATACCAGATAATACAACCGCAGAAACTAATAGGTGAAGCCTCGTTAGTTTTACGTCGTGACAATCAAAAGTGGAATAAAATTATGGGAAACTTTCGGCTTGACATTAGAAAGTATTCTCTTGTATAGATCAAGAAATAAATACTCTGTGTTTATAGTTTTTTAATCGATGCAAAATCGTGACTCAAGACGTCACAGTCGTAGTATATCGTGAGTACTTTGCCCTCGATGCTCGGATATTGTGAATTTTAAATAGTTTTCGTTGAAAGGTCAATTACTGTTCCAACTACCTCAAACGATGAGTAATATTGAAACTTGCGAATTTTATGCGAAATGCCTTAAACATACAAGGTATTTTAACCTTTATGTGGAAGCATGAAGGGCTAAGTTATAACTAGGTTGTTTGCTATTTAGGGACGAATAGATATTATTATTTTTTGTTGATTTTTGGCATTTTCTATGTTTACAGCCTCAAGAAAATTACATATTATATATTAGATTAAAAAACATTGTAAATTTAATCTTATCTTACTAATATTATAAATGCGAATGTTTGAATGGATGGATAGATGTTTGTTTGTTGGTAAAACATCTGAACGAGGCGCTGAAATTTAGCATAGATGTAGAACATAGTCTGGAGGAATGTATAGGCTACTAATTAAGTTTTTTTTTTTTAATTCTACGCGGCAGGGGTCGTGGGCGACAGCTATATTGAATAAACGTAGTTATTCATAATAGTTTTTTTCACTTTACGTGAATAGACTTAAATGATGAGATTATAACAATGGTAATTATTTTAAAAATCGCACATAATTAAATTTGACTTTAAATTAAGTTTCTATTTTTATATTCTATTTATATTTTACTTATGTAAAAAAATTCCCACTACTCTCAGATATTTTAAAAACATTCAAGACTTGAATTCATTTCGTTTTTTTCGTCTCCTTTCCAAATATGTCTCATTTACCTGTTGATTTTAAGCTGAGATAACTTGATACTTGAATTGTGAAAGGAGTTTAAGTGAAACTAAAAAAAATTACAAGATATATTAAGATATATGTTGTTATTACATGTGTTTTTTTCTTATTATAATTGATTTGTTTTTAAAAGATTTATCTATAAATACTGTCAGTAATTATGAGATAAACGGCAGAGAGAGCGATAAATTAGGAAACAATTAATTAAGACCTTAATGAGTAATATTTAAACAATATTTTAGTTTACAGAGAGACTTGCACGTATAATACAGACATTAGTCTTCGTTACGTTATCGACAAAATTAACATAGGTATAAGATTTTTGGTGTGCTTTACATTCGATAAAAAAATACTATACCAATATTAACACAAATTTTGTCGAAGACTACGAAGTTGATCTCTCTAATATTCTTTCTCGCCTCCCTTTACTCCTTGTTTGTTTTCTTTTTTTTATATATTATGAGATGGCAAACGAGCCATCGGCCACCTGAAATCGTTGAAATAGCGAAGAGACCGTTGCCCATAGACATACGCAATTGCATATGCGTTAACTACCTTTAATCGACGGAGGAGAGGATGCACAGAAAGAAAATATTTTCCCTTCCCATGCATCTTCTCATCCGGAAATTCCACTTCCACTTCCCATCCTTTCCTTATAAGAAAAAGGCTGGGAAGGACTAAATTCCGGGACGTACAACGTAAATGGTGTAAAATGAAATGTCCATTGTCTTCATATGATATGTCATTAAACTTCGAGAAATCTTGTTGATTCGTAGTAACGTGTGAATGATAGGAAGTCACGATTTCGTCACTTAATGATCGATCAAACTGGCAACAACTTACTTATAAGATAAATAATGAAAAGCAAATAATGATACATAATTATTTTATTACAGCAATTGGCGGATGACACCGGTCGTTAAGACAACGAAGAATAAGAAAAGGCCATAATCCCGAAGAATAAATTCAACTTTCGCTAACTTTAAAGACAATCAAAATAACGAGATACAAACTCAAAAGAATAGAAATTACATGTTGTTGGAAACAGCAAAGACGTGTTTACAAGAATCAATAGCAAATATAGAAAAGAAGATAACATTGAACAGACAAATGTAATGAAAAACGTAATAATAATTTAGTACATAGACTTGCACGTAACTGAATTACCTAACTTTATGGTCAAAATGTTAAATTAACAATCGAAGATAATTGTAATGTTTTAAAAAAGGAAGTAAATCGTAAAGTTAAATCAACAGTTTATTGGATGTATCGAAAATTAATGGCGTTGAATTGAAAGTGAAACAAATTCAAAATATTATGCAACTGATAAACCGAGCTGAAGAATTGTTTGCTTCAAGACGCTCTAAAGGGCCCAATGAAATGGATGGGTGAGTGTTTACAGATTATATAAAATCTGTTTATTTTTATCACGAAGAAAGTAAGCGTCGCAAATTTAATTATGTTTAAGCTATTAATAATTTAAACCTAGTCTAGTCATCATCACCTCTCTATACGTCCCCGATGAAAGGCTCGGAGCCTACCCTAACTTAGGGGTGATTAGGCCATAGTCAACCACGCTGGCCAAGTGCGGGTTGGTTGACTTCACACATATCTTTAAATTTCTTCTTAGATATGTGCAGGTTGCATCACGATGTTCAGTAATAAATTTATAATGCTGGTAATTTTAAAATCTATGTTAGTGCGAATATTACAAACTACAATTTGAAACGCAGTATTTGTGTTTACTTATTATTATGGAACTGTTTATGTATTTTAGAATATTCTTGTTTGTTTTGCAATTAACGCAATTTAGTTAAAGCAATACCTTATTAGCTGGACGGTAATGAAAGGCCTTCCTGAGACCAATCACTTTCCCTTTTGAGTGCACCTCAGTTTCACATATTATATATTCAGGATTAATATAAATGACAGCGATAAGGCTTCTACATTTATTTAATAACTTTTATATATAATCAATTAAAGTATATGTAGATTTAATCGAGTAAAATTATCTACCAATGTATTTTTGGGTTTCTATCCTTTTGGATAACCTCTTAAAAATTAAGGGAAGCAATTAAATAGTAGATCCAGCTATATTAATATTAGTAGTAAGTGTAAAATATAATTAAAATAACGTTTATGGATACTCAATATTTTATATACGTTACAAGAAATACTCATATTAAATAGGTACGGTACAAAATATAAATTATTTCCCGCTTTGTTCATGCACTATGTGCGCTACCTAATTGTCGTAGTGGAAAATAGCAAGTCTAATATCCGCCATCCAATAAGCTAAGCCAAGCCTTAGACGTCTGGCTGTGATTTAACTCGCTTTCTTGAGAAATCTCCAGTGATGCCTTATTGTTCACCATTACGAATATTATGGTATTAAATTGCGTATTATTATATTTGTTTTTTTTTTATAACTTTAGGTTGTGGTGCGGTTGATGTAGCTTAGGAATTGTTTATGCCTGGTATCAAGTGTGATATAAAACCTTTAATTGATTGAGATCCACTATAAAATAAGATAAGATTTTTTAGTTCACATGTTTTATGTGTAACAAACTATTGTTCTTTTTACCACTTTTGAATGTGCAAACATTTATTAAGATTTCACATTTTAGTGAGATTTATTTCGGAATTAATTAATGTTAGCTTACCGCTTTCTAGTGGTGAGTAGTTAAACTAAATAATACATTTTGTAATAGCGTCATCTAGTGGAGAGTTATAAAAACTAATTTATTTTCCAATACCGCCATCTGTTAGCAAGAAGTAAAAACATAATTAATTCCTGTAAACTTCACTACACTCAATTCCAAAAACATATCATAGATGGCGCTTATCTTAAACCAAGCTTGTCAAGTTAAAAAAAACACAAAAAGTCATTTAAAAGTAACAGTATCCAGTGTCAGTATCAAAATCAACATTCTTGAGCTTTCCACATTTTATAATCATGAACTGTATGAATGGAAACAAAAGTCTTAAAATAATAACATTATCTGAAATTCAAATCAAAACTCCGAAAAAATACGTTAGCGTTGTACAATGAAGAAATATTTGGTACATTATGTAAGAGTATGTAAGTGTATCTTTGGTGCATAATTTAAATTACCTCTTGTATAAAATTTTTGGTAAGGTGTTACAAATTAAATTTTATTACGAATGCATTGTTCATGTATCTAGGCTTAATGTTGCTAATTAATTCATTTTATTTTAGGGTTATTATTAAACGCAACGTAATAAGATACAATGATAGCGTGTTAGTACAGTTCATAGAATGCTTACGGCTTCTAAAATGTATTTATATTCATTTCATAGGCATTTATAACACCGTTATGGTAAGTGATACCATCTCAAAATTAACTTGGCCTAGGAAAAAATCCCCCATAACGTGTGAAAAGGTACAGCAAATTCTGTCATGAAATCAGTTTATAATAACGTTACTTACAAAATATAGGTATATCCTCAAATGTTTACTTCTTCGTCTAGATAGAGTTTCAACATTCCTATCATCAAGTAAACAGTCTATATCATAAATAACCTATTCTTATAGCAAGTCGTTAATTGGTCGCTAAAGAAGCACCTTAAAGTATATTTTACATAGTAGCAGCCCTTAGTGGCATCTTAATGAGTCTAGTAGACTACAAAATACGAAGTTCAAGTTTATCTTGCCCATATGATGGGACACGCATCTAAGAGTCAAAGGCCAAGCGGAAAACATCTCGTTGGTAAAGGAATAGGAATGTTTGCATTACTCCAACCTTGTTTATCACGTCACGTCACCGTGACGTGTGAAGGTGCGTTAAGAAAACACAAGGAAGTGGACCAGGGTACCGTTAGCCGGTCCGGCTCATCAGTGCACTCGCGCGCGCGTTACAAGTAACTCGTATACCCACGGTCTCCGGTCTGGACCGAACTTAGTGTGATCAACAACGGGTCTTTATTTAACGGTAAGTTATATCTTTAGTGCTAAGGAAATTCCTACTTTACGTATAAAATATTTATTACATCTACATTTAAAAAGACAGATTTGTATGTAGTTTTTGAAAATCGTAAATTAGTAAATGTGTTTTTAAGTTCTTAATCAAAAGCTTTGTTTAAAAAAGTTAAGTTACTTTTAACTTATTTTATAATCTGCGCTGGGTTTTCTCGGGGGAGTCGTGTCGTTTATGAAAAACCAATGTGAACTCGAAGCTTCAAAACCTCGGACCCTATGAAGTCCTTTATTGATGTTCGTCGAAATATTATGTCTTTTACTCATAGAAATAGAACATAATTTGTTAGTTTTTAGAGGTAATTTCTACTAATTACAGAAATAATAAAAGTATAAGTAAGAAGTATTCCCATCGTGCGTGAACCGATAACAATTTTGCCAATTTTTTGTTGGCAGGATAACAGAAATGTAAAAACATTTATCAGCAAGCACAAACATTTAAAGTTAATAATAAAATAATTGTCACATTATCGAGATAAACACGTCGATTTGTTGATTAATTCACGTTAACGCCGTACTATGTTTTAACGGGGCTAATCAGAAACAAGCGGCGTACAATAATCACCGGTGACGTATATAAGATTTGCGCGTAAATTCCATCTATAAATTAGTGAGTCAGCCCTAAGTTTTTGCGGAGAAAGTGACCTTAATTTCTAGAAGTATCAAGGGTGAGGGGTAAGGTGGGGCGAGGGGGGTTTGTTGTGTATCGGCTTCGCGCTTGCCACTTTCACCGATTATTATTGTTTATTCGTAGCACTCATATATTACGATTAGAATGTGGGTTTTTCGGTCGAAATACGTAATAATTTTTGAAGAAATAACAATAAAGAAAAATACCTAGCACGAACATCATCATCGACAAAATTTGTATTGATAATTGTGCATTGCCCCATCAAGCGTAGAGTAAATCAAATATATAATTTTAACATAATTTACGATGACGATACGAAGACGCTTGTCGAAAATATTCGTGATAGATCCTCAGTTGTTTTTAAGGATGAACAATTGTTTTTTCTACAATTTAAGGGTCGTTTATGTTTGTAGTGGTTTATCCAAGTCATGACTTTTATGAAGCCAACGGATTGAGATGTTTAGTTTCTATCAGTAAAAATATTTAAAAAAATAACTTTCGCTGTAAGGTTACTCAGAATTTCTATTAGTGATGAATCTGTTATTCACATATTAATCTATTTAGGACAAAATAGCAGAGTGGTTTAAGCGAATCGTCGTGAACACCACAATTCAATATCATGCACAATAATATATCAACAACTAGCTTCGAAATATTTGAATCTTTAACTCTATAAATTATAAATTAAAACTCTTAGAATTATTAACACGTCTTCAAGCAATCTTCTTCTAACTTTTGCGTCTTAAACAAAAGAATTAAGACATTAAATACCACAGATAACACAATAATATACTAATATTACTTGAGTTTACATTTCTCTCTTTCTCTCTCGAAATTTAAATTGAGAAAGCAATAAAAATTCTTATATGGATATATGGGTAACGGTATGATAACGGTCAGTTAACAACAGGTGACCTATTCGAATGCCACCTTGATATAAACATGTTTAATGTAAATGTTATAGCAATGAGAACATAAAATGTATTATAAGATTCAATCGGCACGAATTCCTTACCCTCTTTACATTCCTCATGTTTGTTTGTTGCTTTCACCGTTTTATGCACATTGGTACTATAGTTGTAAATTAAGGTTCTATTTCGGTATAGGAATAATTCAAATAAAGACCTAATTAAGAACCTTTTTAATTAAACACTACGTTATAGTACTATCACCCTGAATACTTCTATTTGAAAATGGAATGGATTTTCTTAAGTTTGAAGCTGCTACAACCTATCCTTACTACATAACCTTACAAATGTTTTGTAATCTTAAGGTAGTTGTAAAATAAAATTTTGATACAAAAGAAGTCAAAGTTTTGACTTCCTAAAACACTTATTTTCTTCCGATTAAAAATAGATTATGTTACACACTCTATTTGTACAGTTGATTTGTCAAAAGAAATCAAGACGTTACGCATTATCTTGAAGTATTTTGTAGGTCATTTGATTGACATTAAAATTATATAATACGTAGAATCATGACGTTACATAATCTGTGGTTATTCCGGGTTAAGACAGAATAGTATTTAAGTATGCTACTTTAAGATCAAAGGGCAAAGAACAAAATGTAAATGTAAAGTTTCGTTCATACATCGACGCTTTGGATCATTATAGCAATTTTAGTTGCAAATTAATTAAAATCCTATAATATTTTGTAAATATTATCAGACGAAATTACACAATGAATGAACAGTTTTACAAAAAAAAGTGGTAGACGATTTCAACCACCGAATTTTTGAAGTACATTTCCAAAGAACCTTAAATCGTTCATTTCGTTTCCTTTTTTGTCATCGATTTAATAGCCCATACATTGTATTTTTCCTACAATCCTTTTTGTTTGTTGAACCGTAACCGAAAAGCGTTTAAGGCGCGCTTGTTCCAAATACCAGAACAATTCGATGTACAACGGTACTCTAATGCAGAGTGCGACACACTTCCACCATACTTATGTTACCCTGGTACTTTATATAAATTAATCCGTGCTACCGAAAATTAAATTAATATGAAATGCAAATAAAAACTTGGAAAGCAGTGAATATTTAAAAAAAGATTTGAATAACTTTATTCAAACCACAAGATTTCTAGAAATAGTTAAACTAATAAAAGACCCCGACTGTTTTTGTCTGAATTGTGGACACATGTTCTACTCCTAAGGTAATGGCTACACTTTAAGGGATACGAATAAAATCTTATTCTGTCTTTAGCCATTGGAAACCTTTCTGTAGTTTGTTCTCTTCCATATGTATGTAACCCTGGTACTTTTGCGAACTCCCATGGGGCAATAACATAACTAGGAAACGCAATACCCATGTCAAAGCATGTAATTATGTAGAGGTGGAGTGTTCCGTCATGTGTTATTGTAGGACCACTTAGCATAAGTTGGTACAAAGATTATGCACTGTAGTATACTCGTAATTGTTTGCTGTACCCTATTTTCTTCCTATTCAGAAGATGTAAAGTTAGTTGGAAATTATTTTGTACGAGAATGTTTTTGAAACCAACGAATGTAAGTTTTAGGAGACTAGGACCACAGTCGTTGGCTCAATTTTAGATGACTACAAACATCATTGATTTCTCAGATATGTGCAAATTGCATCACAATATTTTCCCTCATAATGAACGTTTATAGTATTTCTAAGCTCCCATTACCTTGTGTAACATCGATGCTTATGGTAGGTGACAAATTATAGTGCGTGCTTAATATTGCATGTGACACTTGAAGCGTGGAAATGACATAAAGTGGAAAGTGTTTCCGGTATAACACAAGTGTGCCCGAGCCCCGTGAACGTTCATTAAATGTTACCAGGTTGTCACAAGTCGAGTGTGACAATAGTAATTGAATAAGAATGCTCACAAGTCGTGTTTCAAAATAACTGAAATGGATTTTCTGCTTTTGTTTTTAATTTTGTGTCTCCGGTGTCTATTCTATGGTAACTGTCCCGGGTAAGCGTCCCGGAGGCCTAATTTAGTCCTCTTTCCCTTTCCTCCCTTTTTCTTATAAGGAAAGGATGGAAAGTGGAAGTGGACTTTCCGGATGAGAGGATGAATGGCAAGGGAACATATTTTCTTTCTGTGCATCCTCTCCTCCGTCGATTTAGTTTAGGCAACGCATATGCAATTGCGTATGTCTATGGGCATCGGTCATTTCGCTATTTCAGCGATTTCGGGTGGCCGCTCGCTCGTTTGCCACCTTATGATATAAAAAAAGCTGTAGCGCTAATTAGTTAGAGCGGCATTTTATTTATTACTATGGAAATAGCTTTGCATCCTTATATTATATAATTAAGTACTTACGTTCCATAAATCTGTGTCTCAATCTTGATTAACACATTCATCGTTGATTTTTGAAACCCCTGATGAAAACATATCGTGAAGCACCATATTAACTTTGCCAAAATAGAGATAACAATATATTTTATACAGGGATTTAGGACGAACGATCAGTGCGTGAAAATTATAAGAGTTCATCATCAGCTTACTATAAGTCACCACGGAGGGGCTCGGAGCCTACCATAGGTTAGGGGTGACTAGGGCATAGTCAACCACGGTGGCCTACTGCGGGTTGAATTTCTTCGCAGTGTAGTTTGCATCACGATGTTTTCCTTCACCGTAAGATCATTCGATAAATGTAGATATGTAAATCGGAAATCGAAAAACACATCGGTATATAACGCGATTCGAAACCAAGACCTTTAGAGTATAAGCTTAACACCAGAGTCGCTGACGCTTTTAGAGTAACTGTTCTCTATTTAAATTTGGCAATATCAGCTGAATTCTAATAAAAAAGATTAATATAGTAAGGTAAAAGCATAGATAAATAATTACTGTGGACCCGTTGTAAAAGGAGCGCAGATGACGAACTAGAAATGAGAACGCATTCCGATACTCGTCTGCAGTTATACGATTAACATAATGGTCGCGCTCCACTGACGGCGTAAAGTGATAAGCGATAGCGATTCTATATTGAGATTGATTACAACTCGTGCTAAATAACATGACATTTGAGTATAATGACGTATAGAAACGACAGATTGAAGTAATAGATGTTATAGAAAATGGGTACAGCTATTTCGTTTAGACATCGACACGACGTAAATAAAAAATTATATTTTGTAAAAAAATATACAAATATTTTTGTATATCGATTAAATTAGGCATAATTAGTTAAAGAAGATATATATTAAATTTACTATTGGGCATAAAAATGTGAGTAATCTTACTTACTAATAATAAATGCGAAGTTTGTAAGGATAGATGTTTGTTATAAGGTATCTCCGGAACGGCTAAATGAATCTTGATGAAAAATGGATATTAAACATAGTCTGGAAGAACACATAGGTTAATAACATTTTTTTTAATACCGCGATGACGGAGTCGCAGGCAACAACCATTTAAAAAAAATAATGGTTTGGGATAAAGTATACTTATAGCTGATAAGTACTAAAGTAGCGTTTAAAGTTGACTAGCAAGTTTTAATACGGACCGGTTACTTAAGGGTAGTGCATTGACTCAACATCCTGGAATCTTATAGTTTATTTTATTATGGAACATAATTCTTTTTTAGAAACTCTGATAAATTTTTAGTTTTAACGCTTTACTCAAAATCATTAAGTAGTCAATAAGGGATTTCGAAGTAAGTCAAATCTGAGTGCGCCAAAAAGGTTTACGACTTTTTCAAAGTTAATTTCAGTTTTTTTTTTTTAATTTTGTAGAACTTAATAGAATTTTTATGCGCATAGTAAACATCCTAAAAATCGGATTTATAGCTGTCAATATAAAAAACCCAGTCAGTGGCACACATCCTTCTTTTTGTAACGGACTGAGTCCAAAAAGCTTGTTTTAGTTATAGAGGTCAGTAATGCTTCGTATAATGACCGCCAGTAGGTCATGGCCGCGGGGTCGTTGACCTTTTGACGGGTAACTTGTCGATACTTTGAATTTTTTTTTAAATTTCAGTTTATTTATTGTGACATGGAATTTAAATAAGTGGTTTCGTAAGATTTTTAAATAAGAAATTAAATTTTATATTGTATTTTAATATTGTTGTTTTTGGGGACCTTATTACATTAAGGTAAAATTAGTGTTATATCCAAAAAATCTCTATTTGAGAAGTAATATTTCGGTGTTTTTATTTTTTTTTCTTTAAAAATAAATAACAAAGGAGTCAAAAGAGTTTTCCCATGCAATTCATCATTCACGTTAGGAATATTTTAAGGTTTAGTTGCTTGTAATTCAAAATAATTCCTTGTGGCTATGCTTCATCCTTTGTGGTTTTCCTAAACAAAGGTTCGAGAATTTTAACCCCTTACATTCTTTGTGTGACTTTATGTATTTGCATTGAGTACTTACATGTGTTATGTTGTTATTTATATTTCACATTTTTATATATTTGAGAAAGAAAAGGAAACGAAAACATATTTATAGACTTTATTAGTTAGAATCATTTGGCGCGAATGACGTGCTTTCGTTACAAAGTCCAGTGTCAGAATGAATAGTGAGGGGACATAAACATCGATATTTTAGTAAGGCTAGTTGCATCAATACACTGGCACATTTTCGGATTTACTTCCTAATAATATGAACCTTAAACAATAGAAAAAAACTTAAGAAAAAATTGAAATGTGTAATTTTATTTTTTCTTTTGTTTGTTAATTTAAAGTCAAAAAATCAAAGCTATTTTATGTAGGCAGATGCTATGGATACTTGTTTTAAAATAGTGTCACCGAAATACCGTTGAAACAGGTTGTTCTAAAATTCTAAACTTTAAGCTATCATTAACAAGACAAACTCCTCCATTTATGTATTTAGTTGTATTGTAAATAACGGTATAGTAGATAGGAATATTTTTGATTTTTTTTGGGTCATATATTTCCAACTTTATAAATTATAAAACCAACTTAAATCTTATTTATAACGGTGTTCGAACCGTTACATGTTAAAGTCAATCAATGAAATCTGGACCTATAGTGAAGAGACGCAAGACTTTAAATCTCTTGTTTCAATATTAGCTTCTATATAAATGAATATTGCCCTGCATGTCATCCGATACTGGTTATATACTTCGGCAATTATCAAATTGTCTTTCAAGTTACCGTGAAATTTAGTAAAGATAATGTGAGGGATAATTTTTTTTGATACAAATGTTTCTTCAATGAAAACACACGGTTTTGTTGCCATCGATTATCAACTGATACTGTTTATACTGTAAAGTAGACTACTGTATTATATATTCGATTTATTACCTATGTTGAAAATTATAATTCTAACGATTTTTTTTTCTTTTCAGGTAGTTTCCGCGAGTTTCAACATGACGCGTCACAAATGTGCAAACTCAAAGTGGACTGTAGTTTTAGTTTTATTTGTTTTGTGTCAAACGGTTCTTTCGCGACCTCAAAATGATACGTCACCTGTTCAAAGTTCAACTCAACCCTCTACAGATACATCAGAAATTCCTACAAGGTATAATTTTAGGAGTAATTATAATTTAAGTACATTTGTGTCCCCAATAGCTATAAGTTTGATTAATAAATCTCGTTTAGATGTTAATTTAAGAAACCAAAAATCATCTATTGTAAATCTAAATGAACATGTTTCACATTTAAATAATCCTAAATTATTTCAAATATTAAATGATACGAAACATACATCACACAGACGTGGTCGGGTTGTAAGAGGTAATCTTAATTCATTTATTAATGAACAAACTACTAAAACAAATGACATAGGCAGGGCGTACACTTCAATATCTAAGTTAAAATTTAGCGAACAAAATGTACTAAAAGATGATAGTTTATTTCAAGAAAAAAATAAGCCAGTAATTAGAAAAGTCATAACTAAATGGATGGATCAAACTAAATATGAAGATTTAAATTTTGACAAAGAGAATAGTGATTCTGGAGATGGTAAAATAGTTGATAATTCCAAAGATAGTGACGATTATACTAGTAGTGAAAATAATAATAGCGAAATCAGTGGCTTTTCCAAAGATAATCATCCAAAACTTACAAAGAAAGTATATTATAAACCTAGGCCACAATATTCAGAACATCCAATAAATCCTCCTACTGTACAATACATGGACAATTATCCATACAGCCATACTAGACCTGCTTATGTATTTACAACCCCATCCCCCACGCCTATAATCACTAACGTAGGTTATCCACCACCTTGGCCCCAACAAAATTATCAAGTTATGCAACCCGTAACAACGACACAAAGACCTAATAGGATAACAAACCCCGTAAAAGATCATTATAATTATCATAATCATGTCAATAACTACCCTCAATATCCAACTAATAATTACGAGGTCACAACTTTTCAACCAACTTCAGCTTACACAGACAGAATTATAATAAGACCGGAAGAATACAGTGCTTCACCGGACGAATGTCCTACTATATATCTAACACTGAATAACACTTTCCAAGGTCAAGCTAAAGAAGCTTGTCCAGATCTAAATATCGCAGTAAACACAAACGTTGTGAACAAGAACAATGTAATAGAATCAGAGGAAGATACAGAAACATCCTTTGCAGATGTATTTGGATTACCATCTATGGATGATTCAGAATCAAGTGATAGTAATAATGACTATAATGAGTCGGTTGAAAGTGATGAAAATACCGAAAGTGCCTCTATAGAAGGAACAGCATTAACAAATTATAATGCAAACACAGTCGCTCAAGAATCAGCAGAACCGGGTAACTTTGCCTCACCTAGTTCTGCGTTATCCACAATCACAAAACCAGGACGTCCAAGTGACAATGACGATGATGTGTTTGGATTTTCCTCCATCATTAACTTCTTTAGACCAGCTTTAGGTGCATTTAATTGGTTAGCGACAATCAGTCCTTTAGGATTTGGAATAATCTCCTTTATTTTAACTCCAATAGCAATATTATTTGCAGGGTTTTCAGGACTTGCAGCATTATTTGCTCCATTATCGTTGACATATGCTAGAGAGGCTCCTTTACAAGTACCATCACCACTTCGGTATTTGGATAGTAATTTTATGACAGTGCAAGACTTAACTACGCCGTATCAAAGTTGGTTACCAAATGCACATGGGATTGATAAACAAGTTAGTGATAAAAATGACAAATCAATAAAACCAACATTGTTTTTTAGAATGAAAGAGTGGATGAGAAATTTAACTGATAAATTAAGAAATAATAAAAGAAGTTTCACTTCAAATAATCGTAAAAGTAAACGAAGAAAACGGGAGATTTGGACCTCAACTGTTAAATAACAATTTAGTATATTACAAACATAAAAGTAAAATAGCAAAATTAGACCTACGACCGTTAGTTTTCTAAAAAGCTACAGTATAAATAGTATCCATGAACATTTTTTAAAAACCAACACCTCCTACCTAAAAATAACTAATCCGTTTGGTTATAGTTATAAGGTTTAGAAGCTACGAAGTTTATTAAGAATTAAATTTTTAATTACGACAATACGTACAACCGTGGGCCTTCCACGAATATTTCTTACAAACGCCATCGTATCTTCATCGAAAAAATTTGAATTAAAATTTGTGCAGTTGCGTAATGTATACCAAAAATCTCATAGTAAGTTTGACATAAGTATGACGATGACGATACGAAGGCGAATGTCACAAATATTCGTAATACGTCGTAATTTTTTTTTCTGCTTAGTGTTAATAATAAATTTGCTAAACATGTAACGAAACTGTATCCCAATATTGCTATACTACATATCTTATACTACTACCATAACAATCATCATCATCAGCTCACTATAGGTCCCCTCCTAGGGGCTCGGAGCCTACCCTGAGTTAAGGGTGATTAGGCCATATTCAACCATGCTGGCCAAGTGCGAGTTGGTTGACTTCACACATATCTTTGAATATCTTCTCAGATATGTGCAGGTTGCATCACGATGTTTTCCTTCACCGTAAGAACGTCGGAAAAATGTACATATGCAGTCGGAAATCGAAAAACACATTTGTACATGGCGGGATTTGAACCCAGGACCTGCAGATTGCAAGTCAAGTGCTTGACCCCTGAGCTACCAGTCATAAATGACTTCTTGACAGTTAATTTTTTCCTTACATTTCTTTTTATTGAATAAACCAGTACTTGACCAAAAACCAATTGATAGTAAGTTGCTATGATCGAAGGTATGCACCATCTTAGTAAATTATTCACCCTAATCTTGAAGGCACCCAACTTATAGCTGGAGGGAAATACCGACGACGGCAACTTATGTTTAAGCATCTGGTAATTTATGGTATTTATAGAGTTAAATGTACGATTTTTTTCTTTTTTAATATTAAAATACAGTATTATTTTTAATATAATAATTTATTTATTTATTACTATGTAAATATTAATAAAAAGTAGTTAAGTTTTGTTTTAGTTACATTTAATTATTTCCCTAATAAATTATTTTCTTACATTATGTGTTATTTGTTTTATTTATTTAATATTATAATAGTCTAGAAATAATATATTTTGTTTAATGATACTTTACTTACAAAACCACACTACGATGTTTTTTCCCGGTCGAGGTAAAGTAATTTTTGAGTAAGCATGAATGAAGATGGCGTCAGAGAAAGGTCGAACATTGAAAAGTCAAATTAAAAATATAAATTAGTCTGTGGACATAAAAGTAGTATAAATTAGAATCGCCTTGTTTTTGTTACAATATACTAATAATAAATTTTATATTGTTTCCAATAATGATCAAAACATAACTATGACCTTGAGGTGTAACACAATCCTCAGGTTTATGTTTTGTCTCCAGTAAATACGATTTATTACATCATGGCAATAGTACTCAAGAATACTAAATCATAAGAGCGCTTAATGTGTGTGTAGCAAACGATTATTAAAATGACCAAGCTGTCCATATGATGTTAAGTGATGTTTAGGTACAAAACTATCCCATCACAATATTTAAGGATTTAAGAGATAAGTAAGGAGATGGTAAAACATAACATAAGTAATGAATGAACTGTGACTACAAAACTAATTTTGCCAATGAACAGTATAAAGCACCTCCTTTGTTCATTGATGATTCATTTACCTTTAATGACAGTCTTTTTTCAAATTTCAGAATCGAAAATATCGACGATGTCAAGCCGCAAGATCCAGCAACGCCCGTCTCTGAATCGCCTAGTACGTTACGAGAAGATAAGAAAAATAAGCCACCTATAATAGGAGATTCAATTAAAACAGTTACAAGTCAATTGGTTCATAAAACTGCAAACGAAACTATTGAAAACCCGATTGTCATAGACACAAGAATACCACCTAAGCTAAAAAGTCAAGTAAAACATCGCATCAAGACGAGGAACGATGATGGGGATGAACCTATAGAAAACTTTCATACTGGCATAGCGGTTCCCGTTACTATGGAAGAACTAGAATCTGAAAATGCTGTGACGGATGTAGTAAGCGAATCATCTACTCCAAATGAAGGAATTTCAACGTGGATTCTTTTGAATAACCCTCCAAACAAAGAAAACCCATCATCCACGACAGAACCAACAAAAGTTGAGGATCAACCAAAAAAACAAAAGCCAGCAAATTCTAGGAACAAAAATAAACGACCCCAAAATAATAAAGTCCCAAAAAGACCAATTATCGGTAGTACAAATAAATCTGATTTAATCGCTGGTGGTTCCGCCATTAATGAAAATGTCTATAACAAAATAAAGGACACTGTTTTATCAAACGTACAAAAGAATAAAAACACTGTTCAACGTACGACAACGACCACTACTACCCAAGTAACTACGACGGACGCACCAACAACTAAAAGAGAAGTAGTGACAAAAGCATCCGGTTCAATGGCACCTGTAGCTAAAGTAACTCCAAAACCTGCAAAAAAGAAGAATAAGAATAAGGTGAAAGTAAGTACTTATGCTCCCGAAGTAAGTGAATCAGCTTTATTACCTATGGAAGCTAAAGAGCAAGAGATAGAAATCGAAGTTAGCACGCCCGTAACAACAACTAAAAAACCTAAACGGTCATCTACTAGAAAGAAGACTAAAACAAAGAAAAGGAAAACAACTAAACATAAGCCCGAAAGCACTACTGCTGTTGCGACTGAATTAAAAACTGCAAATAAGACGAAATCAGCGAAGCAACCTAAACCAGCTACTAGTGGACCAATCACATCACAAATTTACAATTACTTTTCCAGAGAAGTAATGCCATCTGTAGGTGTCGGTGTTATTGGATTAGCGAGTTTAGTAGGCATTGCCAGCTACTTCTTATACCCGTTTACTTCACCGGTAAGACGAACCTTCGAAGTAGATAAGAAAGACGACATTTACAAGCACAACGCCGAGGAGTATGGAAGTGAGGGTAACGGTCAAGCAGAGGAAGAAATGTTAGGAACTGTGCTTGCAGGAATGCCAACTCATGCAAAACATAAGATCATAAATCCGTATGCTGCTCAAACTCCATCTTTGAATCGGTATCAAGTGAAAAAAGATCAAGATATCAGGTATCGTCATGTCCAACAACCGGCAAATTATGACCCGCACTATAAAGCACAGCAACATTACGCTCAACAAAAAACTGGTATTGCTCATGGCGCAGTGTATCCCGAACCATTAAATTACAACCGTCCTCATTACGAAACACGACATGCTTATACAACAGAACACAAATATGATAAAGCTTCGACATCATATACACCTTATCCTGCAGTAGAACCTATCTATGCAGCTCCACAGACAGGCGCGGGAATTTCATCATACGGTAGTGAAACAGCTAACGCAGTGGTTTACGGAGTTAAACCTTCTGCAGAATCTGATTTTAAGCCAGTTTATCCGTTTGATGGACAGTTTTATGGTGACACAACTAACCCACCTGCCACATATGCACCAACATCAATGTTTTTAGGTTCTAATAATGAAGACGAAGACGATTCGGATAAATATGATAATTCAAATTCTAACAGTGGCATGGCAGACAATAAATTCGTGGTGGGTAACGTTCCTAAAGAACTAAGCGAAGAGTCAGCAACACCAGCAGTTGTTCCGGAACACGGGCCTAGAAATATTAGAAGACGTCGTCATTTACGTAAGCGTAGAGGTCTTGCTCAATCAATTGATGACTTACTTAAAGCTGCAAAAGATAACAAGGATGTATTTTTGAGCAACGAAATAGATGAAATGCCTAGTATCTCAGGAAAATATACAGACATGTACCAAATGCCAGCTGAAAGTATGAATGTACCAAAAACCTCGGAAGGTGAAAACGTTCTAACAGTTTTCGCAGTATCTATGGATCCCGCCAAAGACCCGTCTCTAACTGAAACTACTACAATGAAAAATATTGTAGTTGAAAGCGTTTCAACTGTACCATTGGATCAAACGAAACAAGAAATAACAACAACAGAATCTGAAGGTATAAAGGAATCAGATATTACGACAAAATCGTTCAAAGTAATTGAAGTGTTTACAAATAATCCTATAACAACCGACAAGAGCAGTCCTTTGATAATTGATGGAGCAGAAAAAACTGACACAACTACACAGGGTAGAAATTCGAATACTGAAACGACTACAGAGTTAAAATCTGAAACGACTTCAACCATGCCACCTTCTCCATCTCCTGTCACAGAACCTAAAGTACAAACCACGTCACCAAAACCTACCGATGGTCCAGAAGTAATAACTTATCCACCTTTAAACCAAGATGGCGGATTTTTCGGTTTCTTAAAACGTTTGGTTGAATTCAAATACAGACTTGGATTAAGTATTTTACAAACTACGTCAGAATCTTTGAATAGATATTTACGTTCAATGGAAGAAACAGTAAAGAATGCAGCGAATGGATCACATCGATAAATTATTATTAGTATTATTTCTTCAGATACTCAGAATTTCGACTGTTTTGTTAATGTTTATTTCTTTCTATACTTTTATAAATGTCCCATTGGAACCCAAACGAATTAGTTCTAGATTAATAAAAAATAATAGGCATTTATTCATGTGTTTCGAAGGAACTCAAATGTTAGGTCTATTGACATACTAAAAGAAACTGTTTTGAACATCAACCGAAGGCATAAAATATGGTCCCACGAGGATCTCATTGCAATTTTTTGACATTGATAAGAGGGCCTCCAATTTTTAAGGATTACCAGTGAGCTAATATTTCCTTACTTCTTCTATTCCTTTAACTTCATTTGTTTTTCAACATTTGCATCGAAACTAAAACATATTAAAAATGTAGAGGTTATTTTATTAATTCGCGTAGAGCCGAGAATTTATAAGACTTGAATTTATCATAAGTTTTCTTATTTCTTATTTTATTTCTCTTATTTTACTTAGTTCCAATCTTATGCATTTAGTTTAGAAATTAAGGATAATTATTTTTCGAGCATTTCACTAAGAATTTAACAAAGGCATGGTATTAGTGTTGTTTGTAGTAAACTTATCGTCACACTTTTAGAATATACGTTATTATTTAATTATAATAATAACATATTTAACTATGTTATTGTAACATGTTATTCTGTAGCAATATAAGAAAAGTGTAACTGAGGTTGTCAAAGCCTTCCAATGTAATTATAGAGTGTTCAAAATGAAATTATGGAAAATATTGGTTTCAATCAACCGTCAGTCGCAAGCATTTTTGTTAAAAGATATGTTTACAAAATATGACGATAGATGGCATTACTAAACGCAATATTAAAATTGCTAGCTCTCCTAAATTTTGTATTTTTATGCTAGCCAAATTAAATTGAATTCGTATATTTTCAGAATGTTTTCCTCGATATTTTTTTGAATTAAGTGATTGAGGAAAGCCTACTGAATTTATATTGTGATAAAATCTATGTATTTAATACGAAAACATTTTAATGTTACAAGCTTTTTAAACGAATTGTATTTTTAGTTAAATTAGGTTGAACATCGAATTTAAAAATGTAAGCAACTATTTTATATTTTTATATGTAAATAATGAAATAAAGAAATTAAAAATAATTTTACTTATTTATTTTACTGATAGTTTTAAAATTCCTTTATAAGAAATTTAAGTATGTAGTAGATCAACGGCAAATGTTGAATTGCCAATAACTTTTAACTCTTCCTGGTTGCATGGGCTAATTCTAACGTTAAAATGTTTTTTTTTATTTCCAAATTCACTTAAAACATTAAAAAGTATGGCAGTATTTAAACAATTTCCAATTCTGTGGAATTGTTGGTTAATTTATTTTAATTTAAAAACATTATAGGCAGTAGCTAAGTAAGAACAGTGACATCTATGAATAGCATTGAAAAAGTCTTATATTAGTTACATTTACTCATTCACTGTAGTTCAAAAAAAATTAATAGATGGCGCTTAAACCAATGAAAGTAAAAAGGAAGAAAACTTTAATAGACCATAGATTTTTACAAATATTACTGCATTTCTTCTTACAATAATTATTAGAAGAGTTATTAATACTGAACTTTTCATGCATTGTAATGAGATATAATTTCTATATAAAGGTAATAAATTACGTCTTTAACTAAAAGTACAACGATTATTACGTAATGACAATCACTATTTAAATTATTTTATTAATGCTGGAAATATTTTGTTTCCATACAAATTGTTTTGGGTAAACAAAACTGTGGACAAGTTGGGTCGAGGGTTAACCTCGTATAAAAATAATAACCCTTCAGCGTAATGTTCGGGATGAGTCACAAAGCGGCTCACTATGGGGGTCAAAATGTCCCTTGTTTCAACTTTGTTTCCATTAAGGGTTGACCGAGCGTAATAGTATTTAGTTATACATATAATAAAGAGATTTGCAAGAACATGTTGGAATTAATTTGATTTTTGCGCAAAGAATTTTTCCATTTGCTTTGCGTGCGACAGTTGTTTAATATTTTTTAACAAAAACTGTCAAATCGTGCAGATTTAGAGTGAAATTTACACTAAGTGACTTACTTAGTAATCATTAAAGTACTCTGAGTAGCATGGTTAAATTAGCTTATAGTAAAACTAAACTCATAGGTGAAAACCAAAGAACTATTAAAACAGAACGGGGCTTTTGTGGTTAAGTTCTCTGATTCCTTCCTAAGGAAATGATGGAAAAATGAAGCGAATTGGACAGAGAAAGGGAAGTAAAGAAGGGGAAATAATCTCTTTATATTCTTCCGTCGATTAAAGGGAAATAACCTATCTTCTAAACCTTTCTATGAATGCCTAACGGTAGCGATCGCTTCGATGTTTTGACGAATCCAGGTGGCCGCTTTTTGTTTGACATCCAATAACATAAAAAAAAAGTTTCATCGGTACTTAAAGATTTATTCTCTGATTCTGATCGTTATCATTCATCGATTGTTATTGAATGTTCATTTATAACTTTTTGCACGAACAAATACGGCAAGACAATGAACACACAATACGCCGCTACAAATTTGCGTAACGCAAACATAAAGCCCCGCTACGGCCTTTCGCATTCAAATGAACTCCGCCGATATACATTGAACAATGCTGTTTAATTTATTATTTACTACATACGCACTATACATTTTTAACTATTAAATAATTTAAATAATTCAAATAAAAAAAAATGTTGGTAAGTTTGCCCTCTGGCGGTCACAACGCAATCGGAAGAAAAAGGTTATTAGTAACAAGATATATCTTTTTTTGTTTTATGGGTCTATGATAATAACATTTTATTATTTTATTTAGAAGTAAACGAACAGTAATTCTATTGTAACTATTTTCTTTGTAGTCTTGTACTGTAGAAATAATATTAAAAAATGATAAAGCAAAATTAACAGAAAGGAAATAAAACGAAGAACAATCCTACATTTCAACGAATTCCTTTGTATAGCAACCTGCGGCTAACGGATCTGTTTGTATCTTTTTTATGTCATACTGGAGTTGAATGTTAACATAATATAAATTAAATTATGAGCGTCGGTGGCTCAGTGGTCAAGCACTTGACTTGCAATCTGCAGGTCCTGGGTTCGAATCCCGCCATGTACCAATGTGTTTTTCGATTTCCGATTTACATATGTAGATTTATCCGACGTTCTTACGGTGAAGGAAAACATCGTGATGCAACCTGCACATATCTGAGAAGTAATTCAAAGATATGCGTGAAGTCAACCAACCTGCACTTGGCCAGCGTGGTTGACTATGGCCTAATCACCCTTAACTTAGGGTAGGCTCCGAGTCCCTCGGTGGGGACGTATAGTGGGCTGATGATGATGATGATATGAAGATAAAGTTCCTGTAAATGGAATCTATTAGGTACTTTTACATTAGGGATATTTTTATCTCACTTGAGACGTACTGCGAGGGTCCCAGAGTTGTCCTTTGGATACTCCATCACTTCATCACACTACAGGATGTCTTCGTAAAAATCGTACATCATTACTTACTTAATCTGATAATCCAAACCGCTACGACTTAGGGTCCTTCAAGAAGCGAGCGTATCACCGCAACGGCCGGCAACGCACCTGCGGTTCCTCTGGTATTGCTGATATCCATGGGCTTCGATGAACACCTCGGTGTTCCCGCTGTTCGTTTACCCCCTTCTCTTGTAAAAAAGTCATATCACCTCCCCCATAAAAATGGTATTATATAAATGTAGAAGTAATCTGTTAAGAATATAAACAAAGTGAATTTAATTTGTTTCTAACGAGGCTACCGCTGGATAGAAAATTAAGAAAATTTACCGAAGGACTGATTACAAGTTTGGTCGCAATGGAGATTAATTATTTTACATTCAAATTGATTTTAAACTAAATTTACCACGTCTTGAAATTGTTTAATCGTTAGACTTAAACAAACACATAGTTTCAAGAGAAATTGCTTTTTAGTTACTTAGACTAATTGGAAATTGTGATGAAAACAAATTACTGAAGCATTCAATTATGTTATTGAATTTAATAACGCAAAAAACCTGAATGTACGTTTTTTTTATATCATAACAACGTGGCAAACGAGCGAGCGTCCACCTGAAATCGCTGAAATAGCGAAGTGACCGCTGCCCACAGACATACGCAATTGCATATGCGTTGCCTACCTTCAATCAACGGAGGAGAGGATGCACAGAAAGAAAATATCTTACCTTTCCATGCATCCTCTCATCCGGAAAGTCCACTTCCACTTCTCCTTTCCTTATAAAGAAAAGGTTGGGAAGGGAAAGAGGACTAAATTAGGCCTCCGGGACGCACACTCATCAGACGAAACTTGGAATTGCTTCCACTTTACGCCTGTCTTCTGTGTGGTCGTGGTATTGCACCGGGCCGATTCGTGCGAAGATGTTAAAGCGGGCTATACCACGTTATTTTTAGAAGATTATATTTGGCGTTCATGTTTCAATAATATTAGATGTTTGACAAAATATTAATTAAAATATGCCATCAACATTTTTTTTGCACAATATATTGTCGGGAGTTTTAAATCACCCTCGGATCAAAACGGCTCGCGCCATCGATCATTAAAAGCTTTCCAAAGTTATTAATTTTTACGTAGAAAAATATTAAAAGAGCGTTTGAACTTTTTTAATGTGTATTTTTAACATAAGCCTATTAATATCAATAGATCAAGTCTAGACTTATAATGATCCTGTGACATCGTCCTGTATGGAAACTAGTTGAGTTTTGTGTCAACTTTTAGGTTATTTTGCCAAGATAAAAAAAAATCTCTTTACACAATTTTATCATCAATCTAAACTCTATACATTTTTATTTAACACATTAATTACTTCATTTTTAACACTTCTTTTTACATCGATATTCTTAGTGGCCAGTACGTCCGCTGTTACCAAAAAGTTCCAATGTTGACAAACATTAAATATTAGAAAAAAAAATGTTATGTTTTACTAAAGTTTGAATCAACAACGTCCCCGTACTTTAAGTGAAAAGCATGTATTGATAATGTCTTGAAAACTGGCAAGAACTTCATTCGTATTCCACTCGGTAAGTAGAGAAGTTGCAAACTTTGTGAATGTTTTAACACTAAGAAAGTCAAAGTAAAGTTTGTGACGTTAGTTTGAATTCATTAAGTTGTGATGCATATGCCTATGATATTTCATTGATCGATGAGTATGTAAATACTTACTTCTTACTAATGTTATAAATGCGAAAGTTTAGATGGATGGATGTTTCAAGGTATCTCCAGAACGACTCAACGGATCTTGATGAAATTTTACACAGATGTAGAACATTATCTGGAAGAACACATAGACTAATTAAGTCTTAAATATTTT